TTAAATTTAGTTATAGTAAATTTAGTATCGTGTTGGTTTTGTACAAAAAGTAATATATATATATATATATATATATAGGTCTTAACTCTTGCAACATATTGCACTCTTGATGATGACGTAGTAAGATGCCAATAAATGTAGTGTATGAGACTGTTCCTAATCTCATGGTTTTTATTTTTATACAGTAAAGTAAGTAAAACAAATTTTTATACTGGGGACAGTCTTATTTTTAAATATTTATTGTGTACTAATAAATTTTGTGGTTTGAAAAACTTCTTTAATACATCTGTTTTATTTTTAAATGTATAGATGTGACATCAGTCCATAATGATAAACTCTGCAACAAAAATAATGTGTGTAAAAACTTAAATATATATACATTACATGAATTATAATTTGATTATAAATTTATTTCTTCTGTAAATAAATAAGGTATAAATTAAATGTACTTACAGCCAATAAAGCTTTGCCTATAGTATCATAAGCAACCACTTGCTAATTGAATTATACATTTATCAATAAGCATCCTCAACAGAGAAAATATTTCTTGTCATATAGACTTTCTTAAGCACTGACCCGTAATGTAATTCTAACCAAATAACATTAAAATATGGCAATAGATCATCTCAAATCTTTCCACCTGTTTCTTTAAAGACTAATTTTATATATACATACAAAGTGAAGATAATGTTATCAAGTATTTTACCTGAATTGCAAACATTGTTCAACGACAGAAAGTGATTGAGAACAATCATTCAGAGCAAGCTTCAATCGATTTCTGTAATGTTCAAGTTTGTTAATGTCTGCATCAAGAGCTTCAGATTCAACTTCCAATTCAGACCTCCAAAAATCAATTTCTTGTACTCGTAAACCTAGAATATTGGAACTCTCATCATGTCATCAGTTGATTTGGTCTTAATGTGTCAGTTAATGTAATGTTTTGGATTTTCACAAGCTCATGTTACATAATGATATTGGTTACATATGCACATTTTTAGTACATGCTAATCTTTCTAGGCACAAAAAAGAGGGGGATTCTAAGTAACACCTGCTAATAATTACAATTAAAAGATTGCAAAATATCTATACATATTTTCCAATACCAAAGGCTAATGGTGTGTCATGAAAATTCCAATATTATTTCTGATAATTATAAATATCTCAGTCTTCCTTTGTACTATAAACAGCATTTAGATATTGTACTGTACTGCAACTGCAATATACTGTTACGACAGCGGAAGTCACGTGACGCTGGGAGCATGCACACTGGAGTTTCTAGAAGGATCATGACTTATCGAGGAACCTCGCGATTGTCTGAGTGTTTGCCAGGCACCATCTTTTTTAGTATATAAGCCCGGCAAATAAAGCCAGCGATAGATATGCAGATATAGATAATTGAGTCAAGCGAACAGTAGGCACCGTAAGTAAAGCGTGTGAAC